GGAAAAGAGTGATAGTTATTATGTCAAAAGTAAAGTCAAATATATATTTTTTAATGTCACACTCTTTTCTTCATAATTAATATAATAATTAGAGGTATAAAAGTAATGAAAATGAGATAAAATGTAGAAAATTTCATGAGAGAGAGTGAGATGAAAACAACAGATGCAAAAGGAACAAGGACTATATTATTGGACGTATTTATCTACAGCTCTTATGTGTGTTGTGTTTGCCCATTAGGGATTTTAATTTGTAATCCACATCAGCACATAGTTAAACTCCTTCAAACAAAMAAAAAAATAAAATAAAATAAAAAAACTTCCCTTGTGACACCCCAGACTAAATGAACTGGTGTATTTTTATGGTAAGAGCTTTGTGCTCCCCCCCCTCTGCACTGCGGCTTCTACAAGAATGCATTATTTACAAGATGCTCATTGTCCTTAGTCATTTGTTTGCTTCCCCTTTTCTCCCATTTTGTGCAGCAGCAAYGATCCTGATGGGACCTCGGAGGTTACGGGTGTTAGTTGAAGCTCTCCGGGCCATGCAGATCAATGCACTAACAGGTTGAGTCAGGCATAAGAGCTTCTGTAATGGAGCCRAGCACGGATGACAAAACTGCCTCAAGTCAAGGATAAGGAAATAAACAACAAAGTAAACAGTTGAAAGGATATTATTTGGTAAAAGTGCTATTGTTAAAAAAAGCCTTGTGAATTAGAGAGGAATAGTGGCAGCGTGCTACAGCAGGTGTTTTTTAAACCCAAGTGAAGATGACAGTTGAAGTAAATCTGTTGTAATGAAACGTCTTGTTGGTGCAGTTGGTTTATTTTTAGCTGAAGCAACRTTTATATTCATTTTTTTATTGTCATGATATTTGTGTTTCCCATCCATGTAACTTTTTTTGTGTAGAACTTTTCAGTCACCAACGTTGCGTAGATCACTCAACGACACAAGAACGTTTTTCATGTTTTTGTGTGTTTTCTTTTAATTGTGATATTTAGTGTGAAGGTCTATAATTCAAATTTCAAATGTTGAARACTACAAGTTATTCCTGATGAGTGGCTCTAAACTGACCACAGAGGTGAATGTTACATGGTTGTGTGTCTGTGTTGGCTCAGCGTCGAAGAGGTTTCTCTCACCCAGTAACAGCTGGGATAATCTCCAGCCCCCACAAACCCTGACCCCGAACAGGAGCGAGCGGGTGTGTAAAATGACTAAATACTCAGTTCCGCTCTGGACGCACAGAGCAGATGTTAATCACACCAGTTAAAACAGCATGACCAGTCATTGTTTGCTAATTGAACAGCTGCGGCTGTGGGTGGCCGGGATCGAGCTGATGTGCACAAAATTGATAAAGTCCTCGGTCATGATCAGATCTTAGTGGCAACATGCGTACAAACTCATCAATGTATTGCTGTTGCTTAAAACGTTTTTTTAATCTGTAAATGATTTTTTTTTTGTATTCAGTATTTCTAGAAGCCTAATCATATGTGACCTATCACATTGAAACGAGGATTAAGTCCAAAAGTGGAACGTGGAGAAATAGGCAAATACAGGGCTTTGATTTAAATGTGTGCAAACATTGCATTTTGCCAAAATATAATGAATTAATGCCTTTTCAATGAATCATTATAATGAATGAACTGTCTTATAATCAATCCTAAATAAATTTTTGAAGCATTTTTTTCAGCAGTAGCAACAACAACAAAAACAAAAATGATTCTGAGGAAAAAAACGCCTTAAAATTTGAATTTTTTCCCCCTGTGGGCTAACATTTTTTGTTTCTTTTCAACTGGGAAATCTTAATAAACAAAACTATTTGAGGTTTCCTCATTATATTGACATAAAAAAATACTCAATAAATTTACATAAAATTAGGATTTAGACCAAACATTAATGTAGTATCGTAACCAACAAGACAAATTAAGTCATATCTCTGTATAAGCTTATCAGAATGATCCAGGTATCAAAATGTTGCTTTTAAAGCCACAAATCTGAAAATGTAATGAGGTCATTTTGATCAAATTAGACTTAATCCTCATTTCGATATGATGGGCCAAATCAAGACTCTTGCACAACCAGCGGTTGCTACTTCCTTGTAGCAAGAGCCTCTCCAATGCTAACGCCAGATTGTTGCTAGCCTCTCTGATGCTAACACAAATGAATAGTCTCCTTCTCATTTGGCAGCACCGACCTCTCAKTTAGCAGGGTCAGCTGCTCAGTTACCGGTACCGGCCTATCATTAATCAGATCAATAGCTGGCTTAGGAATAAATATAGCCTCCTGCTACAAGGATGTAGCAACAGCTGGTTGCACGATAGTCTTAATTTTGTCTGTCATACCGTGCCGTATGATTAGCCATCAACTTTGACCTACCAATCATACACACATCCAGATTTCTGTTTTTATTTKTTCCTTACCCCGTCTTCAGGTTGTCAATGGCCTCCTCCACCCCTTTCTGGTTGTTGCGAATCATATACTGGTGCATGTTGGGATAGTTGGAGCGAATRTTCTCTTCGGTGCTGCCGTTCGGCACCGTACCAAAGCGCAGTGGTGGGTACTGCTCCGTTGGCTGCTGGAACTGCGTGAGAAGAACAGGTGGGCAGAGATTAAAGTGACAGACGGGAAGAGGGAAGTTAAAAAGAGAGAAGCTAAAAGAAAGAGAGAGAGAGAGAGAGAGAGGTGCTGATCTCTGCTGCAGGAAGGAGTACTACAGAGGTTCAGTTGTTCAAAGGCGAGCCCCGATGCCACAAGAGCTGAGGGGGAGTTTATTAAGACAGGTGAGGYTTAAAGTGTTTAGAAGCAGGGTGCAGTTTGACAATTTTACTGAGACTTCACTGGAAAAGAGTAGGCAACAGAAATAAGGAAATGGGTTTACTATGTTCTGAAGATGGACGTGTGACAAAACGTAATGATTTTAACCCTTGCTTTACAGTTTCAGTTCGAGACATGATATATACATTTTTGTTTTGACTAAGTTTGACCAGTGTATGAAATGTTCTTTCCATCTAGTCACTGTAACATTTGATAGTACCTTCTTATCTGACAGCCCTGACACCGTRTCGATGTACTCCTCCTGGATCATGAAGGCAGCCAGGTTGGCAGTGTAGGAGGCCAGAAAGATGACAGCAAAGAAGGCCCAGACCAGCACCTGGACAGGATCAATGAGAGCTGAGACTGACAGGAGGAAAGAAATGTATACATATATTCCAGTGACACTTTTCATTTCTACACCTGCAGCTGAAGGACTGTCTGGTTTCTAGAGTCATTTTGTCAGCGTGGGACTTTTAGCTGGAGTCACTGAAACCTCGGCATATGTCCTTTTAAAGTTAGTGAAGTTTTTGTGTGTTATTATTGATGAAAACCTGCCCTGGAAACCTCATTTGAATTACTTAAGAACAAAAATAGCAAAATCTATTGCAGTACTACATAAGGTAAATGAGTTATTTGATGATAAAGCACTGTTTTATATTATATAACGCAATAATTGTTCCACATTTGATTTATTGTGTTGAAATTTGGGGTAAGGCACATAAAACTTTTACGAATTCTATTCTTATTCTGCAAGAAAGAGCTATAAGAATTGTTACCAGAAAACATTATAGTCACCCATCTAATGTATCGTTTCAGCGATTGAAATTACAAAAATTTTATGAGTTGGTTGATTATAAAAATTTGTTGATTATAGGGCTCATAAAGGTGCATTGCCTTTGAATATTCAATCAAATTTTGTTAAGAGGGAAGGTTGTTATAATTTGAAAGGACTTGAAATGTTTATAAAACCTAAAATTCGAACAAACTTGAAGGATAGATGTACCTCAGTTCAAGAAATAAGATTGTGGAATAACTTGGTCAGTGATTATAAAAATGCTGACTCATTTGGTAAAATGATAAAAGTTAAATTGTTGAAAAAATATGAAGCTGATGTTTGAGGGGTTAATCAATTTTTTTTTTGTTATGCTGATGAGGGTGTGCATGTGTATGCATATGTATGTATATACAGTATAAGTATATATACATTTATGCATATATGAATGTTTGTATGTGTACACATGTAAATTTGGATAGATTTATTTTTATTATTCTCTTTTTTGTTAAATAGGGGCAGATATAAGATTATTTTCTTCTTCTGCTTCCTTCCATTTTGAGATTTGTGTTTTTTTTTGTTTTACTGAAATTTTTGTTTTTACATCGAAATGAATAAACATTAAACTTAAACTAAACTAAAACAAAAAAACTAAACAGATTTAGAATATCAATAGAGCAGCACCACCAAATGACACAGCCTTTTTGATTTATTAATTTTTTTCATCACTGAAATCCTAAAGCACCTAAAAGTCTGCCTTTAACTTACAATAAAATATGTTTTTTAATCCACACAATTGAACTGACAGTTTCACTTTTCCTTAATATCAGTATATTTTAAATCCATCTTAAAACTTGTTATCTACAGTAAAATAAATAATTACAAGGTTACAGGCTAAGGGGCAATCTTTCACACATTTTTTAATAGTATTTGGCTCTAGATGACACTCGTAGCGACTCYTCGGGGTGTATGAAAATAAAACACAAAGCCAAAGTCTCTGGCAATGAAAGCAGATGGTGCAGATTGGCCTGAAGCCCCAGTTTTTCCACTGGAAATTTGCCACATATATTTTCCATACTTGTGCAATGATTTCATAAAACAAACTTTTTTTTTCTATTTAAAAAGTGAACAACTGTGATCGAGATAAACAAACTGATTTATCTTCCAAATTAAAAAAAAAACAATAAAAAGAAACATGGATCATTTAACAAAACTTGGCTAGTTCTACAKCCTGGATAAATAAAATTAACACCACATCCTAACTCAAGCTGCCCTAAATTACTCAGAAAAATACAAGTTCTCCTGTAAATTATTATCAGGACTTGGCACGAGAATGTGTAGCTGCTGAAAGTGTTGCAGTTTTACTACTACAAATTGTTTTGTTGACAACCTGCCAGGCAGAGAGTAAGAGATATACAGTAGATCAGTGCAACTGATGCATAAAATAACATCCCAACAGTAAACCCCTGAAAAGTTTTACTACCTTTGGAAGGCTGTATGAAAGAATGAGAACTTTAATGTTTAATGTCAGTAGTAAAATGTTGTCAATTATTCATTCTGGGCTGTAAAGACTTTTGCTGATGATCTTAAACAAGCTTAAAGGAAGCTTCATTTTGTTTAAGTAATGATATTTTTAAATAAACCTTCAAGGAAACAGCTTATTTTAAATGATTTATTCTCTAAAAAATCAACACATTTAACTTGCAGGGAATTATTCAGTGAGTGAATTAAAGTCCTTTATTGTGCAGCAAACTTTCAGTTTAGAAAACTAATACAATTTCAAAGAAAGAGAACAAAAACATTTTTGTTATTTTTATTTATTCCTCTGACCCTCTTTGTGAAGTCTCTTGAGCTGATTGAATTGTTGTGAGAAAAAAAGAAAAAAGAAAAGACTTTGGCGTTCAGATATGAAAATAAACAGTTTTTCACTGACTGGATCTGCAACTTCAATCTACATRAGAGGCTGCAAGCTTTTCACCCACTCCCCCGTGTTATCACAGCACAAAACAAACAGCGGAAAAATATATAATTACTCCCCAAAAACAGAGGTTCTACGTATCTACTGTAATTTGTAATTTATTTTTTTTTAATGTTTAAGTTTTAATGAGGTCTTTTCTACATGGTGACTGAGGTGCAGAGTACCCAAAAATTATATTCAAACAACGGTAGCACTACTTTACATATTTATACTCAAGAAATAGTAAAAAGTAGCAATACAAGAAATGAGTCAAGTAAGAATAAAAAAACATATTTAGTAAAAAGGTTACTCAAGTACTGAGAAACATCAATTACTATTTAAAAATTACATCAGATGGACCGAAATA